AACTCTGCTAGTGCCATACGATACAGAGGAATAGAAATAGGCCGAGTGCCCGACACTAATTCAATACCAAAATCAATATCCCTGTCGAGTGGCATGCCCAGCATGTCTGTAGGAAACACATTCGAAAAGTCTCGCACTACCGGAATAGAATGAATAGTAGGAGTATCAGCACCAACGTCCCTCACAAAAGCCAAATATGATAGACACCCCTTCCCAACCATCCGCTAGGCCTTCAGATATAAAATTACCCTGTTGGGAACATAATCTAGAGAACCTCTCCACTCAATCCTTGGCAACCTCGCCATTACCAACATCATGGTCTTAGCGTGACAATCCAGAATAGCATGATATAGAGACAACCAATCCATACCCAAAATCACGTAAAAATCAACCATGCTAAGTAATTAAAGACCAACTCTAGTCTCCAATCCTCCAATGGTCACCACACACGACCGATTCACACGGTCCACAATACTAGTACCGCTCACCAGCGTAGATACATGAACAGGTGAAACTAAGGGCTCACAGGGCATATCCAAATAACGAGTAAAATAGGATGATACATAGGAATAAGTAGAACCAGGGTCAAATAATGTGAAAGTATCTCTGTAGCACACTAAAACAATACGTGTGATCACTACATCTGAAGCAACGACCTCTGGCCTGGCAGGAATAGCATAGAATCGAGTCTAATCGCCATTTGATCGGCCTCCCCCTCTAGGGCGACCTCTAGCTGCCTGAGCCCCACCCCGAGCTGGCTAAGCGAGTGGTGAAGTAACTGGTGCGGAAGTCATAGCCTGAACCTTATGCTGAACTAGACCTCCGTAGTTCTAGGTGTCAACTTTCGATCAAACTTATTAACATTTCAAAACTCCAAATTGCCAACTTTCGCCAAGTAACGCCAAAATCTTCAAAAAAAAAATATCCAAATGCAAATTCGGGCATACGCCCAAGTCCAAAATTAACATCTGGACTTAACGGAACTATCAAAACTCTGATCCAGGGTCAAATACACAAAAATCAGACTTGGTCAACTAAACCAACTTAAGGCTTCCTAGTTAAGAATCATTATCCCAAATCAACTCCGGATCACTTGAAAACGAAAACCGACAATTCACACAAGTCATAATACATCATATGAAGCTACTCAAAACTTCAAACAGCTGAACAGAATGCAAATGCTCAAAAAGACCGGTCTGGTCGTTACAGTATGCATCCATATGAATGAGCATATTTTTTCTTAGAAGTCAAATAAATATAATTAATAATGCATTTAATCTCTAAGCAAAATTAAAGGAAAAAAAATTCAAGTCCCTAAAAATGATGAAGGTTAATATATTTAACTAACTCGAAATTCTACCTCACAAAAGTCCTCAATATTCAAATGCCTTATATTATCCGCATATTATTACATTTCACTAAAACGACATGAATAGAACATATGCAATTAATTGTCATGCACATTTACAGCAGAATGAAAAATCACCGAAATACGTAAAAATACCACACATGAATCGATTATAAAAATAAAAAATCTTACTCAATTAAATTTGTAAATATTACACAGGAGAGAGAGAGCGTGTAAGAAAAAATTATAAAACATTTTTAAAAAATGAGGCAAATAAAAGAGATGATAGTCCTATAAGCACACACACATTGACAATGAGTAAATAAACTATCGTTTCCCTAATTACATGTAACTTTGTAAGTACATACTAGTATCAATACTCGCATGATGGGCTGACAAAAATATTATCATATATATATATATANACAATGAAATTTAATTAATAAGAGAAATTTTATGTATAATAATACAACAATTATCTAAATGAAGAAAAATACTATTACAATAGCATAATACATGAAATAAAAATAAAAGGACATTATCAAAACTTACACAAATGATTAATTTTATCATGTTAGTTAGATAATTATATATTAAAGTTTAAAAGTATTTAATGTGACGGTATCTTAACGAACACTTCTTTGTGGACAACATTTTTTTGTGTATGTTTCCTCCTAATGCGCTGGTTGCTCTGCCTCTTGATATCCCTCTTGAAAGTGCAACATACAGTTATTCGTGCAAGAAAACATATTGTGATAAATATAGTCCAATATTTAGGATGTTTGTCCTTGTACTTTGTTTATTATATTCCTTAGTTTCGGAAGACGAAAGTTGAATTCAGGGATAAGAATATACTTAGAAACACATTAACCAATACCATAATTTTTGCATGTATGCCGTTATTGTCAAAATTTCTATATATCATTTGTGTGCTATTACATAAGCTACTCGGCTTATCTAAGTTTTTCAGTATCATGACATGCATATTTTTCTTCAAAATTAATCTATATACAATGGAAGATCAATTTTAACTAAGTCTATTATATATACGGTGACAATAACATACATAAGAAATAAGAAACTTGACAACAAACATGTATGGTTGAAGGTTATTTGTATTAAAGTAATTAAGTATTATTCTTTGTAGTAATTATTGGTATCATTTTCTACTGAGTCAAAAACTGAAAAATATTTTGTTTTTACTATAACATTATGCAATCAACCTTTTATTTAGTTTATCAACATATTCATTTATGCTAGCTAAGATATCTTTTTAATTCTATTATGCGATTTGCACAAATTGTGTTTTAATCTAATGATAGAAATATTTCTCTTATTAAATGCACTATTATTACCATTGGGATTGATAACCAAGTGTTTAGGAAGAACCAAATCATCTTTTATTTGATGCTCTTCTCCGTTTCCGACACGAAGCAAGAAGACACTGAATATTGAATCTATTCTTACTTTATATTTCTTGTTAGTTGAATATTTTTCGTTTGTGGCAAGAAGTATAACTTTGGCAAGCTAGCTTTTACAGTCTCTGCTTTTGTCGATTTTAGAATTACTGGTAGTACTTGACAGAAATCACCTCTCAAACCATTAATTTTTCATCAAACGATTCATTAACATCCAATATATCTCTAGAATTCTGCTCAATTATTTCGATCGTTTGACACTAAGCCATAAGTGTTTCATCCCTTATTATCAATTTTATTTTCCTTATAAATTTATCACCATTGCTCTACTTTGATATATTTGTTTGATATACCAGAGTCGACACTTTATAATATAGTCTTGAAAACTCGTTCTTGTTTGGGATTTAGCTTTGATTGTGCTTCCTCAGACACTTGTATAGCATTTTGATTCTTAATAATATACTAACCTTTTTACTTTGTGTTTAACGCTCTTTTTTATGGAATAAATTTATGTGCCCCAAGATATTTTTTAACTTGAATAAATTTTTTAGTCATATGATGAATTGGATTCTCTTGCTAAATAATTAACTAAAAGATTTAATTATTTGGTTTTAACATAAAAAATAATTTATTCTATGTTGATTCAGATCTTAATATTAGTTCATCTCTTGTTTTGAATATTTAATCTTAATTAGTATAATTTTATCCACCATAAATTTTATTTTCAAAGAGTAAACGATTGATATGACATTTCACTTTTAGATCTTTATGTTTGTAGAATCATTAGTGGTGTTGACTCTCACCAACTATTTTTTTCTCTTTCTCACACATTTATATTCTTAAATATTTTCTTAATTGTTGTTTAATAATTGAGTATTTTTCAATATTACATGAAAAATTGATTAATAAATATTATTTGAGTAGGAAAATAGTTCAAATATAATAAAAACATATATTATCGTGGGGGTATTTTTTTTTTCTTCTCAATTTCAACTCTTTATGCATTCCATTTAATATTGCTTTTATTTTTTCTTTGTATTGGAGATTATATAGTGGTAATATATTGCCAATACGGAGGATTCTTATGAAATTGATTTTATTAAACCTTCCCACATATTTTAAATAAGAATTTAATAGATAAGATTGTATTAATTTTAAATATTAAAAATTAGCATAGAAGGTATTGTAGTACAAAAAATAAGTTATTACAGTTATGTCCTTTCCCTATGAGTTCTTCTAGTTAATAAATATAGAGTTATAAATATATTCGGACTCAAAATTTATTCCTCTATCATTATTGGAACCAAATTGTAAACATTATCACGTGGATAAGTAAATGGGTCAAATTCATTATTAGACTTCACTCACCAAAATAACGACAAGTCCTTTTGTATTTAATTTGAAGGTAGTATGAGTAGTAACCTAAAATTAATAGGATTATAAGTCTAATATCTAGAATTTCGATTATTTCCTTTTATTATGAGTTATTATGCTTAATATTATAAGGTTATTTTTGTAAATCGATTTTGTATTTATGCTTTTATAATAATATAGATTTTGTAAACCGATATTGTATTCATGCTTTTATAGTAATATAGATATATAAAACTTGTTTGTACTTTGTTAAATAATGAATCGGAATGGGAGACGTGGACTTTCTTGAAAAGAAATTAATTTCATTGAGTAAAACTTCAAAGTACTAATGAATATGAAGAAATAATGAAATTTTGTAAATTAAAGGTACAATGTGTGTGTAAATTATTAGGACACCTAGTTAATTTCAATAAATCTTAAAAGTTAGGGAAGGGATTTCATAGTTCAAATTGAACAGATTTAATGGCCAAAACTTTAGTTTATTTTAGAGTTCTAAACATTAAAAAAAATGATATTTTTGTCAAATGTAAACTTTATTTTTATAAGTAAAATGATACTTGTCAACGTTTAGCGTTGCTTTTAAAATAATACATGTATAGATAGTTCACCTTTTGCATATCATCACAATGGGAGAAAAATATTTATGCAATAGCTGATGATTAATGCAATTGCCAAACATATCAGGAAGCTGTCCTAAATGGTTGGGCAAGACTTTGATTATGCAGCTTACAATTTTTGACTTCACCTAAATGTTTGAAACATTAGAAATAAAGAGTACGATGCATTTATCGCTATAAAATCATCTCATGCGTGCAGTCATAGCTGCAACCAAAGGGCGTAACATACCAACTAGGAAACAAATGACGGAATTAATCTCCCAAGAATTCATCAAACCTGTTTCTCCCACTCACAATCACCTAAAATCCTATGATTATTCCACTCTCGATCAGTTTTCTCCTTCAAATTATATCTCTATACTTTTATATTACCCTCCTCCAGCTCTTGGTGAGGATAACCAAAACCCAAATGCTATCAATTCAACAAGATTAAAGCAGTTGAAGAAATCCTTGTCTCAAGTTCTTGCTCATTATTACCCTTTGGCAGGAAGACTTGGAAAAAACAATACTTCAGTTGATGCAACGATGAAGGTGTGCCATTTATCGAGGCATTTGTGCACAATCAACGCTAGGAAGACATTCTCATGAGTAACCCTCATGAAAAAACAATTACAAAATCTTTTCTTCCACTTACCTTTGAGTCGTTTTGATCGACCGTTTTGCTTCTCGTTAAAGTTACCTATTCGAATGTGGAGGATTGGTTATCGGAATTTCAGCTACCCACAAAATATTTGATGCTTCTTCTGTATTCACATTCCTAACTGACTGGTCTGCTTTGGCACGCCAAGACAATCCCAACTTTGCGCTCACACAACTTGTTCCCATTGCAACGCTCGTACGACACGTACCAGATGCTGAAGCCGTTATATCTCGTGAGCCATGTCGTACCAACATTTATGTTTTTAACTCTTCTGGTATTGGAAATCTCAAGATTAAGGGGTCAAGTGAGAAGATACCAATACCTTCGCGTGTAGAAGTAGTGACAAGTATTTTGTGGAAGTGCCTAACAGCAAACTCCAAAAGGCCATCTTTGCTAACTCATACGGTAAACTTGAGGAAACGAGTTGACCCTCCAATGCATGCTCACCATATTCGAAACTTCGCATGGTTACTTTTAGCATCTAAGCATGAGAGTGAGGAAGATATAGCTAGCATGGTGGTTTCAATACGAAAAGGGTTATTCGAGTTGGATAATAACTATGTGAAGAGATTGAAGGGGGATAAGGCCGTGGAAACTACCCTAGAGTTGTTGAGGGACGGTTTAAGCTTGCTGAGTGGCATAAAGGATGTGGATTTCTATCGATTTACTAGCTGGTGTGGTTACACATTTTATGATGTACATTTTGGGTGGGGGAAGCCAATTTTGTTTGGTACAATTAAGGCAAAAGTGAAGAATGCGACAATATTATTAGATCCAAAGGATGGTGGAGTAGAAGCTTGGGTTACTTTGAGTGAAGAAGACATGAAAATGATTGAGAAAAATAAAGAGTTGTTAAATTATGCAACTCTCAAGGCCAGTCACCCTACCTAGACTAGACACACAAAGAAAGAATGATACAGAAATTGCTACAATTCAGTTATTGTATTTGAGTTGGACTCTTCCAACAAGCCACTGTTATTATTGTATTTGAGTTGGACTCTTCCAATAAGATTCAGTAGATATCCTACTTGTACTTTGTAGCACTATATAAAGATAAATAACAACCCATAAAGGGTGTGCCTTGGTTTTATATCATGGTATCAGAAAATAAAGCCTTGATGATCATATATATTTATCGTATTTCAGCTAAGCAATTCCTATATTATCCAAATTGTTCTCCCCAAACTATTTCTTCTTGTTTATTTACTTATGGCTACCCAACCTCCTAACAATCCTTACACGGTTAATATTAAAGATTTGGTTCCTTTTTGCCTAGATAATTCTAACTACATGAAATTGAGTTATCTTTTCCTTCATGTTCTTCATATTTAAGAGCTTCAACATCATATTGATGGATCTAGCATCATCCCTTCAACTAAGATTACAAATTTATCTGGCGCAGAACTTTCTAATTCAGAGTTTCTGAAATGGTGTCACTAAGATCTGTTAGACCATCTTAATCTTATCATGTATATTCAAATATTATGATAATGACTTAGAATTGTAGTCTAGCCGCTTAAGACGCTTTTGGATTATCTCTTGTAGCAACTTTCACCTATTGGACTCTTAGCTTATCTCATGTACATTGTACTATATAAACTACGTGAAATAAAGAATACAAGCATGGTCTTCCAATTATTGAATTCTGCCGTGTATTATGTTTGACATGCATGGTATCAGACTAAGCCGGGTTCATTCTTGTTTTTTTCTTCTTTCTCCGCACCATGTCTCTTGTCTCTATTCACAACACAATGGTAACTTCTTCCCTGATAGTCCCAACCTGTTCATCTTCAAACAACTCCGTGCCATCTCCTTGTTCCAACACTCAAAACCATGCTCAGTACCACTTTGACTAAATTAAACTAACACCAACGCCAATTATCTCTTTTGGAAAACTCAACTACTGTCATATCTTAGAGGACAAAATCTTCAAGGTTTCATAAATGGAACAAATCCTTTTCTTTCACCCCTATCTCCTATTGAAGGATCCACTAATTTTCAGCCAAATCTACTCTACACCCGTTGGATTCAACAAGATCAACTCATCATATATCTCTTAATCTCTTCTCTCTTAGAAGAGACTCTACCTATTGTCATTGGATTAAATTCATCCAAGGACATCTGGGATGCACTTGCGATAGCCTTATCCTCCCCCTCGAACACCCAGATTCTTAACATTTATATGCAATTCCAAAATCTCAAACAAGCATATCTTTCGATCACTCAGTACCTTCAGAAGGCTAAACTCCTCGCTGATGAATTGGCTGTTGCAGGCTGGCCTCTTTGCTTCTCTGATTTTAACATAGAAGGCCTTCGTCTTGAATTTAGAGATATTATCACCACTCTTTCCGCTAGGCCTGAATCTGTGACCTGCTCTAAACTCCACTGACTTCTCTTTTGTTATTTAAAAGTAATTTTCGATTTACTCATGGAGGAGTAATATTTTAAATTACAATATTGATGAAATTTATTAAGTATTTACTTTTAGGAAGGTAAAATATATAGTGTGATAATATTTTTTAAGAAAATTTGATTTTGAATTGTTTGAAAGTTAAGACGTTATAGTTGATTTATATTTCATAGTAACTCTAACAGTATATTTCATAGTAACTCTAACAGTATTGCGTTGTTCATACTTGTAAAAACATTCTAGATATTTTATTTTTTAAATTTATTTTTGATTTTCTTGAAGTTTAAATGTATTTTCTATATTTTTGTGTTAATGTTATATTAATAATTTATGAATTAAAACTTCTTAAAGATCTGTGTGGCTTACGGTTCGTGTCTCGAGGCTTACATCTCGCCCTACATTAAGTAAAACGCCCAGCCTCACGCCTCTTTTTAAGATATTAAAAATATTTAATTTCCTTTACTACATAATATTCGAGGTCATTAACACTTTGTTGTCTGCATCTCAGGTAGGGATGTACATCGGTCGCATCGGATCGGATTAAGCATATTTCGGATTATAAATTCGGATTTTATAAAATTCAATCTGAATCCAATTCGAATTACATTGGATCGGATTGGATTTTAAAGTTTAGATCAGGTAAATATTTCAGATTTTCTAATAGGATTGTACGGCTTATTAAGTTTACTAACAAACTAATCGGCTACGACACTTTTTAAGGCTATTGTTATTCACCATTCTATTAAATTGAAAGGGAACAAATATATTTCATAGCAATAGATAAAAATAAAAGTTTCATAGCAAAATAAAATAAATTGAAATTTCGATCATATGTCTAATAAAGAAGAGGCGTCGTTGTCTCTTCATAGGAAGAAGAGACTGAGAATGAGAGACACAAAGATAAGACTTAAGAGAAGCGGACAGAGCAATTTGAAAAGAGGATAGAGAGAGAGACATTGATATAAACTAAGAAAGAAGAGTCTAAAGAGAGAGAATGAAATGAGAAGACTTAACCTTAAAATGCAAGTCTAATATTTATACATGTCCACATAAGTCGGATTCAGATCGGATTCAATCAAAATTATACAAATCCAAATCCAATCCGAATATCCAAACCTTTAAAAAACCTAACCCATATCCGATCTGAAAATCCGAATAAGGCGGATCGATTTGGATTTTCAGATATCTGATCCAAATGCACATCCCTAATCTCGCGGCTCCTGCGAGGAAGCCTAGGAATTGTATTTCATCATTCACTACACAGAAACGAGAAACGCAAAAGAGAGAAAATGAATATTCTCTTTTTTGTGTGGTGATTAGGCATAGCCTAATCTATGTATTGATTGTAACAATATTAAATAGCCGGTGTACTGAATTTTTGTCCAAGTCACCCTACAAAATAAGAAGGATGAATAATTCATCCTTGTACAAAAAGGTTCCTGTGGCAGTATACATGGGATTAGGTATCAAGCTTGGGAAACTTCTAAGATCCTTAGTTACAAGGAGAGCAGTGTACATATGCCCGAACAAAAAACTTCAAGCTTAATTAACTATAATACGAAGTAAAGACCATCCTTTCCGCTCGTATTTTGAAATTTGAGATTCTTTCCATGTCTTCTTCAATCAGTTTTTAGCCCCATTAGGTGGGGTCAAATCTTGTGTAAAGAATGTATTTTGTTTTGTCTCTCACCAAAATTAGCTAATAATCTGCAAGATTATTCACTTCTCCATAGCAATCTGGGAACTTGAAGTTGCCTTGTTTCTTTAAGTTATTGATCTGGCTTGTGATATGCAGAATATGTCTCTTGAAATTGTTTTTATTATTGATCATGTTGATAATGATCATAGAGTTAGATTCAATATCCACATTCCTGAATCCATTTGTAATGCACCATTGGATTCCGTAAAGAATATCTTTGGATTCAGCTACATTATTAGAGCATTCTCCATAGTATTCTAAGTATGCCATGACTAGATGACCATTATCATCTCTTAGAATACCACCTCCTCCTGCATTTCCTAGATTTCCTTTGCTATACCATCAATGTTCAATTTCAATCTATCAGGGCTAGGCTTACTCTACCTAAGACTTTTGATATTTATCCTGGGTTTAAATGTTTTAATATGTAGAAGAGTATTGGCCCATTGATATTGTAGATTGACTTGAGGAAATTGGGCGGTCAACAATATTCTAATTTGATAAATAATTCTGTTGATGATGTTACCTAAAAAACTTTTGATGTCATCATACTTGTGACTACATCTGGCTTTCCAGATTTCCCAACAAATGAACAGAGATTGACAGTAAATAAGAATTATATGAACTCTATTATTTGTCTTGATCATCCACCATGTAATAAGAGTATCTCTTATTCCTCCTTGTCTGATAGTAATACCACAACTATTGGAGAAGTATTTCCAAACTGTGTCAGCCAACTCTCCTTCTTTGAACAGATGATCCACGCTCTTCATGTTTCATGCTTTTCAACAAGTGCATTTTGAGGGTCCATGAACTTTAAATCTTTGCAATGCTTCGTAAGTAGGAAGTTTGGTGTCCATTAACTTGAACATAAAAATGAGATCTTGTAAGGTTTTTTTTTTTGAACAGATCTTGGAGGCAGTAAAATTAAGACTTCTAGTCTTTCTTAGTACTTGCCAAGAATATTTAGTAGTGAAAAAATCACTTTGATTTGGGGTCCAAATAGGAAAATCAATGTTATATTTCAAAATATCAATGGTGGCAATACGACTAACCAAGTAATTTGGAAGAACAATATGCAATTTAGTAAAATTTCAAGCCCCATTAATGATGAATTCAGAAACTCTAACCTTTTTTTTAATGATAAGTACTTGGAAAAAATTGAGCAAGAGGCCAAGAGCTAAGCCAGTTATCCCACCAAAAAGGACTTTTTTTTTTGGTTAAACTATAATTTTTTTATTTAACCAAGTAACTCAATATGTAAAAAATGACTTGCCTAGACTATGGAGTCATTCTTCAATTACAATTAAAACTGTATTTCACTAAGTACTCACTAATTTTACTTGAACTATATTCACTAATTCCACTTGAACTATATATGGTAACTATTTAACTGTTCTAACTCTTTCTTCCACTTGTGGATCTTCTGTCATTTCTGTCACGACCTCGGTTCGCCCTCCGTGAACCATCGTGATGGCACCTAGCCTCTACGACTAGGTAATCCTAACAATGCGGAAAAATAAATCAATTTGCGAAAGAAATAATTTAAATCCGAAGTAATGAAATAAAACAGTAATTTAAAGTGCTGCTTGGCATACACAATAATAACTCTCGAAAGCTAAACACATCTCTCAAAATCCGGAATCTCATGATTACAAGCCTTTAAAAGTCTACAACGTCTAACTCCAGAATATCTAACAAGGATACAAAGTACGGAAGGGCTAATATAAAAGGGAGAGTAGAAAAGGGACTCTTCGGTCTGCGGACGCGGCAGACATACCT